TAGAAGATTTGCCAGACGTTGTATTAGAACACAAGATCGATATGTGTAAGCTATTACTTCAAGTACTCGACGTTATAGAACCTGGCTATTCTCGTATAAGAGGTAAAAATTTATAATTATCTATCACTTTTTTATTATATACTTTTATTATATATTATATATTTTAATAATAATACAATTTATAATTCTCAGATATTCATAAAACTGTAATTAAATAATTACAATTCTTAATTCTTACTAAAGATGATATTTTATTAAAGAATTGTTATTAATATTTTATTTTTATTGATGAAAGGAATGACATTGTATGAGCTTCATGCACCCTTACTTTTTACTGCTAAAACACAATGGAATGCTGAAGTGATTGATAAAGCTGCCTTGAAATCAAAAATGATAGAAGCTTCTAAAATTTTGAAAGAAGCAGCAACGATTTTATGTTTTGAACCACCGGATACAGCGGAAGGCCAAATAGGTATCGTCGCTAAAGAATCTCTGGCTCAGCTTGAAGAATCAATCCAAAATTTATAAACTTTATTTATTGTATATCGAAACATCATATTTATTAATAAAGATATATAACATTGAATGTATTTGTTAATAAAGATATGTAATTACATATATAGACAATTAAATATGCTTTGCTAAATCATTGTTGTATCATTATATGATTTATTTTGCAAATATAAATTATCTTATGAATTTTATATTCAATTTATATTCAAGATCAAAGTAATTTACTATTACTATTAAAAAAAAATCAAATAAAGAAAATAAAATTTTATTTAATTAAAAAATTATTTTACTTTATTGCAAAAATTTAAATTTATCTTTTGTGATGTAAACAAGAGGTAAACAGATCTCAGAATAATCAAAACAAACGGAAATAATATAGAATGTATATACAAATATTCATATGAATTAATAAATATATTCAAATTTATTAATATTTAAATTTCTAAGAAAAAAGTAAAATTTATTTAAAATGGCAATGACCATGGAACATTGCAGTCTCTAATGCAATGCATTGTTTTGTCGCCAAATACCTACTCGACAAGCATGCGGCTACACTACGACTTCTAATAATAATATAGCAATCGAGAGTACGAAAGAGACACGGCTCCCGCTACAACTTCCTGTATTTCGGTGTCAGTTACGAACCATAGGAAATGTACGATATCGTCAGGCTCTTACGGGTCTAAGTATCGTTAGTTTCGTATGAGATCGGTACATTTTAGTCAAGTAATTGGCGAAAATAGCTCAAGTGATATACGTATAAGATGATGGAAGAAAAATCAAAAAACGTTGCAACTCCCACGTTAAAATACAAAGTTGCTTATTCAGAGAAATTAGGCAGGTATAAACATATAAATTATACAAATTATTTGACTTAATTTATTATATCTTATATTTGTTAAAGACATTGAAATAAAATCTATTAGAAAAATCTATTATCATATTAATAAATTTTTCAATTTAAATTCAATTAAAACGTAAACATTGAGCGTATAATTACCGCGCATACAAGTATATATCCTCGATTTTTGCATTATTTTTATTCTATCTTTCTTTTAGAGATTTTATAATCAATTAAATTATAAACTAGATATAAATTTTATACTTCGTATCACGTTATATAGTTTGAAATATGTTATACAATGTTTTCTATTTTCATAAGGTATTTACAAGCGGCAAAAGATTTAAGAGCAGGAGAAGTAATTCTTCGAGAAGATCCGGTTGCTGTTGGACCAATGTCTTGTATGAAAGATCCGATATGTTTCGAATGTTTGAGTGTGTTACCAGATATCGAGCAAGATTTCCATTATATTTGTTCAGGATGCAATGTTGTAACTTTGTGCGGTTTTTCTTGTGAGGTAAAAATATAAAAATTAAATTACTCATAATTATTTATCGCATATAAATTAAAAATCACATTAAAAATTTGTTATTATTTGATTATTGATCGTTATTTTTTCAGGAACGAGCGTATTATCATTCAGCGTACGAATGTGAAATTATTAAGAATAATATGGAATTGTCGATAGAAAATACAGATACTTTAGCTGCTGTATTATTTGTTTTAAGATTATGGTTATTAAAGCAAAAAGATCCAGAATTGTGGAAACGAGTCTTATCTCTAGAATCTCATCTAAATAAAAGAAGAAATACAATAGTTTGGGAAGATAGAGAAATAAATATTGTAAATGTAAGTGATATAAAAAATAATAATAAAAAAAATGTGACAACATCAATTTTTAATAATAATGATATTTTTTTTCATTTTTTGATTTAATAATAGGTCTTAAAATCATTGAATTTTCTTCCTGAAAACGATCCATCTGTTTCGGAGATTATACAACAATTGTGCGGAATTTTAGATGTTAATTCTTTCGAGCTCAGATCTCCAGGAGGTATGGATGGACTTCTTTTACGAGGTTTATATCTGGAAGCCTCCTTGATGGCTCACGACTGCAGGGGAAACGTCCATGTAACTGCAGATGATAATTTTCATCTTACCATATATGCTAGTATACCGATTAAAGAAGGCGACACAATTTTCTTCAATTATACTTCATCACTTTTGGTTCGTTTATTCGTCTTTATTTTCATCTTATGAAAGATAATAAAAATAAATCAAAATTCTACGCATAAAATTGTAAAGAGACATTTAAAAAAATGAAAAGTTCAAAACATATAGAATTTTTAAAAATTATCAAAAATTATAAAATTATACAACAATTTAAAAAAAGAATTTATTTATTTATGCGTTTCATTGATAGGGAACGACAGGTAGAAGAGAATATTTGCGCACTGGAAAATATTTTGAATGTGAATGTGATTTATGCAAAGATCCTTACGAAATGGGATCATATATGAGCTGTATTTTGTGTCCGCGATGTAGGCAGGGTTATGTAGGAATGCAAGATCCTTTAACAAAGTTTCCATATAGCAAAAATACGAAATGGCAATGCAATAAGTGTAAAAAAATCATATCAGGATGTCTTATTAAAACTTCTTTAAGTATATCAAAAAATTTGGTTGACGATGTGGATGAATACAATATTAAAGTTAGTATTAAACAAAAATCGAATGATTAATATATATTAATGAATGAACTTCAGTTTATATTTCTTATTTCTTTAATAATTTTCAAGGTAATGGAAAATTTAAAAGAGAAACTATCAAAATCTCTTCATAAGAATCATTTTTTAATGTTATCTTTGAAGCAAAAATTATTGAATGTGTATCGACAGGAAGTAACAGGGCCAAATCCGAAAAGGAAAGTTATGCGAAGTATGACATATCTATGTAGAGAAATGTACGATTTACTGGAAATAGTTGAACCAGGAATATCTCGATTGAAAGGTACTTTTAATGAAATAACTTATTCAAATCATTTGTTAATAAATATATTACTAATGTAAATAGAAATGATAAAAAATTAAATTTGAATTCGATAACATTAAATACGTTTTAAGTTTTAATGTATCAATATTATATAGTCTATTAATGTAAAAAAATTTTTTAGGAATTATGTTATATGAAATACATTTACCATTAGCATTATTAGCAAATCGTGAATATAATGCACGAGAAATTTCTCCAGCTGAATTAGTTAAACGACTTGAAGAAGCTGGAGGTTTTTTAAAGAAATCTCTAACTATGCTTCTTTTGGAACCAGTAGATACACCAGAAGGGAAATTAGCTAAAAGAGCATTACAAGAATTAAAATCACTAAATGAAAATATAGCTGACGTTAAAAGTTTGATTAAAACTGAAACTTCTAGTAGTAATAGCAAAAGATCTCAGAAAAATAAATCTAACAAATCTGATAATACATCTGATAATAAATCTGACAATAAATCAACAAACAAAAATAAACAAACAGAAAATAAAAATGTGTAAAAAAGAAATATCTTTTATATTAAGATTATTGATTATCATATAAAGTAATTTATATTGTTCTTTTTATAACAATGATCATAAAATAATGATCAATAATTTAAACGAAAAAGATTTTAAATAATTTTATACTATTTTAAATATTACTGTAGTGTTCAAATATATGACTATATTATTTTAATATTATTGTATAATAAATTATATTATTCTTAAATAAAATATCATTAATATTTTATTAATTATTTTTAATAGTATTGAAAAATATAAAAAATTATAAATTATTTCTTTCTTCTACAAAATTTTTTCCCTGATTAAGATTGTTCCACTTTAGTGGTTATAAACTACTGTTTTTTTAATCAATATTATGTGATATATATAATGTATATGTAAATTACATTCAAATGAAATTAAAAAAAATTAATTTAATTATTAAATGCATATATATAGTATAAGTTTTAGTAACGATTATAGTAAAAATTGATATTTTGTCCGAAATATTATAATTATTTAATTAAAACATAAAATATTAAACGTGTATACTAATAAAAACTTAAATCTGTAAGTTTATTTATTTTTTAATATATTTGTTACTATAAATAAATAATATTCTAAAAATTTAAAAAACTTTGTGATATATACGAAATATAACCTCTATAAATAAAACAAATTATAACATAATTGTTTAAATTATTGCTATTTTATTAAATATCTTTTATAATAAATATTAATAATATACAATATAAAATTTTAATAAAATTTAAATTGTTTTAATAATTTGTTGTATATAATTATATTATAATATATATAATAATTTTTAATTTATATAGTAAAATACTTTTCAATTTCAGCAAACAAATAGCATGTTTGATCAAAGTATCATTGGAATATGTTTTTGTGTCTGCTTAGCAATAGTTTTCAATTTTTCTTTACATCGAATAGAAGAAGGTCATGTTGGTGTATATTTTAGAGTAAGTAAATATATAAATATAAAAAATATAATTTATAATATTATAAACATTTTTTTTAAATGATATAGGGTGGTGCATTATTACCTCAAGTTAGCAATCCTGGATTTCATATGATGATACCTTTATTAACAACATATCGTGCAGTTCAAGTTACATTACAAACAGATGAAGTAAAAAATGTTCCTTGTGGAACAAGTGGTGGTGTAATGATTTATTTTGATCGTATAGAAGTTGTAAATATATTAGATGCAAATAGTGGTAGGTGATATTAATTAAATTATGATATAATTATAATTATATAATTAAATTATTATAAGATATTGATTATTTTAATTTTACAGTTTATAATATGGTAAGAAATTTTACAGCAGATTATGATCAAACATTAATATTTAATAAAATTCATCATGAATTAAATCAATTTTGTTCTGTACACACATTACATGAGGTATACATAGATTTGTTTGATCAAATAGATGAAAATTTAAAAACTGCTTTACAAAAGGATTTAAATGATTTAGCACCTGGTTTAAGTATTCATGCAGTTAGAGTTACTAAACCAAAAATTCCAGAAACTTTGAGAAAAAATTATGAATTAATGTAAGTTTAAATTATATAATAAAAGTTATTAATTGATTTTTTCAGAAATTCTTTTAGAATCATTATTATTATTATTATTATTATTATTATTATTATTATTATTATTATTATTATTATTAT